ATCCTTAGCACTGCTGCAGAGATGGGAGAGGCTCCTGCCACTGCTGCTGCACTCGCCAGTCATGAGCCCAGCTCAGGGCTTCTGGCTGAGCAGTGCTCCCCCTGTGGGAGGGCCACTGACCACCAGAGGCAGCTCCTGCATTGAGCGCCTGCCCCTTGGTGATCAGTGCACATCATAGTGACCAGTCGTTCCACTATTCGGTTGATTTGCATATTAGCCTTTTATTATATAGGACTAAAGGCCTGGTGCATGAAATTCGTGCACTGGGGGGGATTGTCCCTCAGCCCAGCCTGTACCCTCTCCAATCTGGGACCCCTTGGGGGATGTCCAACTGCCAGTTTAGGCCTGGGACTGCTGGCTCCCAATTGCTCGCCTGCCTGCCTTCCTGATTGCCACTAACCGCTTCTGCCTGCCAGCCTGATCACCCTCTAACCACTCCCCTGCCAGCCTGATCGACACCTAACTGCTTCCCTGCCGGTCCAATTGCCCCCAACTGCCCTCCCCTACCGGCCCAGTCACCCCCAGCTGCCCCCCCTGCCAGCCTGGTCACCCCTAACTGCCCTCCCCTGCAGGCCTGGTTCCCCCCAACTGCCCTCCCTCCCCTGCAGGCCTGGTTGCCCACAACTGCCCTCCCCTGCTGGCCTGGTCACCCCTAACTGCCCTCCCCTGCTGGCCATCTGTGGTGGTCATCTTGTGACCACATGGAGGCGGCCATCTTTGACCACATGGGGGCGGCCATCTTGTGTGAGGTCGTGATGGTCAATTTGCATATTACCTCTTTATTATGTAGGATGGTCTTTGGCTGATTACCTCCCACCCACGATCAGGGCCGGGGAGGGATGCGGGATTTTAGTCAGCTGGGGAAAGGCTACAGGAGGGCTCCTGGGATGTCTGGCCCATCTCGCTCAGTCCCAATCGCCCCGACCCCAGCAGCAAGCTAATCTACTGGTCAGAGCATCTGCCCCTTGGTGGTCAGTGCATATCTTAGCAACTGGTTGACCAGTTGACTGTTTGCCCCCTGGTGATCAGTGCCCATCATAGTGAGTGGTTAAGTGGCCTTAGCATATCATTAACATATTACACTTTGATTGGTTTAATGGACGACCGGACAACAGGACACTTAGCATATTAGGTTTTTATTATATAGGATTAATCTTGTCCTTTTAACCATCTCTTCTTCTGGTATGGTTTCATTTGTTATATTTACTTTTCTTCTAATTACAGTTGAAGGAAAGAATTTATCTTATGTTTATTGTATACATTCTAGGTTTCTCCACTGATCAATGTGGTGCTAAATGAACTTGATTAATTGTACTTTTCACCCATATTGAGTCATCTATCCCTTAAACTTTCTCAAGTGCTATCTACTTTGTGCTGAATTTTATAAGGGAGACAAAGATGTAGCTTATAGCCCTGACTTCAAAGTATTCTTAATACAGTCGAAAAATATAATAAAGGCATTATAATTACACTCTTATAATGTGATCATATTTTGCCTAGAATTAACTTAAAACATAATGTACTTATTTCACATTTATTTACAAAGGTTTTCAATCCAACTAATGGACAATATGCCAATCTGCTTAGAAGTCACTTTAATTGTGTCTATCATTGTCAACAGGCTGGCTTCTTCCCACTGCCCCTTCATCCCTAGGATAACACCCTTTGAAACGTGCTAGATAATGTAAGTTGTAGATCACTAAATAAATGGAACAAGTTAAGAGGAAAACATCTACACTAATAAAATAGAAACATGCAAATTAACCATCACTCCATCACTCCACCACTCCGCTACACCCACCAGCCAATCAGAGCGACTATGCAAATTAACCCAACAAAGATGGCAGTTAATTTGCATATGCAGGAACGGAGCAAAGACTGAAGACAACTGAAGATGGCAGTGGTCACGGAGCTGGAGCAAGCAGGAGGCTTGGGTTGCTCCTGGCGACAGAGGAAGCCAAAGCTTCCCACCAGCCCTGAACTCCACTCAAGGAGGGGCTGGGGGCCTGGGCTCCGCTCAAGGAGCTGGAAAAAAAAAGGAGGGGCTGGGAGTAGCTGGAGCAGAGAAGCCAAGCCTCACTGCTGTGGCCAGACCAAAGGCCTGGGTCCTGGGTGCCGGAGGAAAACTGGTGCCAACAGCCAGGGGAAGGCCTATTGCATGAATCTTCGTGCAATGGGCCACTAGTAGAATAATAATAGTCATTATTTTTACCAAAATGCTGGACCATAAGCATATGGCTATTCATTTAATCATATAGATAAGGTTGTAGCAAGAAAAAGATGGCATACCCAGAGGGTGTGTGTGTTTTGTTTTTGTTTTTAGGATCTAATTGGTTTTCTTAAGTGATTCATGAATTGGACAGCATGCCATCTACAACTAGAAGGATGCTCCCTCAGAGTGTAACTAAAAAGAGTTTAATGAAGGGACTATTTATAAAGAGTCTAGACAGAGAGGCTAGAACAAAGATACAACAAGAATGGTGAATAGCATACAATGATGGGATAACTATCAAATATACACGCATACACGCACACAAGAATGGTGAAGCACCCAGGGGTACTGGGAAGTCATTTCAACCTCTAGGCCTAAAGGGGGAAGGGAAAAAAGATGTTTCCAGGGCCAGATGGGAGCTAGCACTGTGGAAAAGAGGCTGCCAGAAAGGAGCCCTGGCCTTAGATGGAGGAATGCAGCAAGAGGGGTGAGAGTGAGAACAACAATGATTCTGGCCTCTCTCCTCCTGCCCTCAGATTTCCTGCTGATGACTGACCCTAACTCAAAGCTGATGGGGGAAGGAAGCCCAGATGATAGCAGAGGTAATGATTCAATGTGCTACAGAACAGGGCTGAGTAGAGTCAGAATGGACCTAGAATGGCAAATGGAGAATAACCATCCCATCCCCGGAGTTTTGGGAGTCCATTACAGGTGGGTTTATGAAAAGGTATTTCTAAGGCAGTGAACTCCAGCATCTGTAGCTCAGTTGGAAATAATGATAAAAAGGCAAATTGAAGAGACCAGTGACCTCAAAATTTAGCTTAACCAGTCACTCTTTCAAACTCTCTCCAAACTACTACAGAGCTTAAATGTAGCCATGTTGTTAACATTCATTCCCTCTTATTTTGGTGGGAAAAAATGCTCTTTTTGTCAGGCCAAACCTCACCTTTTAGTAAGTGCCCACTAGGAGAAAAAGAGAAGCCAACATGAAGGGAAGGGAAGCAGTTATGAGGTTTGCCCTGGACAGTCCCAAGTTAAACCACACACAGGACAAAAATCACCCTAAGGTTTGTAATGCAAACACTCTCTAAATGGCCTCTCCTCAGAAAAATCAGATGACCCAAGTCTAGGATCTTACTTAGAATTAATTAATGAAAGCATTGTAGGGGATAAATACACAAAATGATCCTTGAGTATTACAATTTACCAACTGCTTAGTCAGTTAAGACTCTGGGGCCATTTGCATGTAGCAAATGACCTTCTCTGGCCACCTCATCTCACCATGGATCCCTACCTAGCATTGCCTATTGATGGCAGTTTCCTTAAACAACTGGGCCTTCATAAAGCAGACAGTGAAAGGAAAGTAGCCTGCTTTTCTTACTCCACCTACTTCCTGGCTGCCGAATGGCACATTACCTTGAACAAACTGTGATTATTTTAAATAAAGAAGCCCCATGATCAATAAACTCTGCTATAGAACGGACGAGGACAGAGAAGTAAACACTGCATTTGTCATTGAGGTCACTGGTGTCCTTAGCCAGAGCAGTTTTGGTGGAGCAGAGCTTCCCACCTGGTGAGCCATGAGTGATTGCAGGTGAGCTGAAGAATAAGCCCCTTAAGTTCCTGACATGTCAGGAGGGGTTGCAGCTCTGTTTCAACTCCAGCTCTGAGGCCCGGCTGGCTGAAAGCAGGTTTCTGGGGTTTTGTTTAGAGTGACCTTGATTGCTGTCCACAAGGGTGCCAAATAAATATAATAATTTTCTCTCGTTGCCACAGCATAGAAAATTTGGAAAGCACAGCTGTAGAGTGATAGCAATGGAAGTTAAATCGAAATTCAGAAGGACTACGTGGAGAAATGGAGGTGGAGGCTGCAAGTGTAGAGAATTATTTTAAAACAGTGGTTCTCAACATTCCTAATGCTGCGACCCTTTAATACAGTTCCTCATGTGGTGGTGACCCCCAATTTCATTGTTACAAATTAAACATAATTAAAGCATAGTGATTAATCACAAAAACATATGTAATTATATATGTGTTTTCTGATGGTCTTAGGCGACCCCTGTGAAAGGGTCGTTCAACCCCCAAAGGGTCGCGACCCACAGGTTGAGAACTGCTGTTTTAAGATACATGTCAGTGAAAGAAAGGAGACAGAAAATAGACAATTCTAAGCAGGTTTAGTAGGCAGATGCTTGAGCACATTTATAGAGAGTAGAAGAAGATCTCGCCATAAAGAGAAATTAAAGATATAAGGGAGAGAATAGATATTTAATGATAAGGTGGAAAGAAGGAGTGCTAAGGTTGTTCACTACTGTGACTACTATTTTCTTTGTTAAATTAGAGGTTGAGTTATCAGCTGAGAGTGAGAGAGGCAGGATCTTGATAGAAAGTATTAAGAGAGGGAAAAGCTCTGCTATCAGGAATATCTGATATCAGAAATGAGAAAGGAAGCTGGCAAAAGATAAGTAACACTGTGCCAATGATGAGAGCCAAGCTGAGAATGAAGCTCATAAATTTATAATGAAACCAATCAGCAGAGTTCTATCTAATACAGCTGTGCTAGGACCTCTGGGTGCTTGAGTAGAGACAGTGGTTAGATGGTTTCATCTAGAACAGTGGTTCTCAACCTTGGCTGCACATTGGAATCACCTGGGAATCTTTTTAAAATCCTGATTTCTGGGCCTCATCCTCCGGAAATTCTGTTTCTTCATTACTAATGTTGTGGCCTCACCCCATAACAAAGAAACAGAATTTCTGGAGGATGAGGCCCAGAAATCAGGATTTTAAAAAGGATAGGGATTCAATGCGGTGAAGGTTTGAACTCGTTCTGGTAAACCGTTTTTCAAGACCGAAACTGACCCAAACTCTGGGCGGTATTTAAGAAGTAAAAAGGGGATCATAAAGAGAAGGGAAAGGATATGAGGTCCGCTACTAGAGCAAAACTCATTCCCCGATCTCTTTCGCGTCGAATGTAAGACCAGAGGAGGGCGCGCGTAAGTTATCTTATGAACAGTATTGCATAATGAGTTCTGAAATCATGGTGCTTTAACGTGAGATGGA